AAACGCCTGGCATGTACACTTCCGGTCATTTAAGACAACATTGTTCTTAGTCCCAAATCGATTAACAATCTGTATACTCCAGCTAGATACACTATTGATCTTGCTACCCTTAGTGTTCGCCATATACTTAGTCATTACTTTGTCAACCTCTGGCGTAACAATACCGCGATGCTTAGCTGACTTCTTACGGCGAGCAGCAAACCATCTGGTCATCATTGACTGGATAAAAGTCAGCAGCTCTATTATTGGCGAATTCCTACCCTCCCTCAATGCTTTGTTCAGCGTTTCCGCTATGTTGCTAGTCATCAAGTTATATCGATTCCCAGGGAAATAAGCTCGTGTCCACGTCGCTGTGCCCATTTTCTCCAAATATCTGGCACAATCAGCATTCATACCTCTCACCTTACCGTATATCTCCTTGAATTCAGTGATGCTAAATGCAAACGCGGCAGCTCCCACCAATTTCGAAAGGCCTTTATTCTTATACCTTGAGGTGACATTTCGCTGAACATGCACAATACAAGCTCCATGAGTGGCTTTAGGATATACCATTTTTTTCGCAGCTTTAATAGAATTGTGTCTATCAGAAATAATTGTCAAGCGATTGCTGTCTGCAAGCAACTTCTCCAAGTTCTGTAAAAACCAAAACCAGGAAGCATCGTTTTCGCTGTCCACAACTGCAAAGGCTAGCGGAAACACTTGGAAATTAGCATCCTGTCCACTAGCTGTTAGCAACACTCCTTTATACCTCCCACCCAAATGAGTACCATCTAACACAATTAAATGCCTAAGTCTCCTAAAACCAGCAAGAGATGCTCCAAACGATAGAAACAAGTACTTAAATCGCTCAAACCCATTTTCATCAGTTTCTGTCTTCAATTCTGTTACAGTTCCTGGATTGGCCATTTTCAACATGTAAAGATACTCAGGAACCTTACTGTACGACTCATCATCTCCACCTCTGACTCCCAAAACAGCACTCTCTTTCGCCCTATAACACTTCATATAAGAAGCGTTAACCCGTAAATCTTCCAGTACAAGGCGCTGCAGTTCTCTTGTTTTCGGACCGTTGACGGGATCACCAAACTTTGATTTAAATACAGCAGCGATAACACGGGAAGATGCTCTTTTTTTAAACTCTTTTCTAGTCTCAATATCGCATGTGTGTTCCAAGTGGGCCTTCCTTATCTCGTAATAAGAGCTACCTTTTATTTCCTTAGCCAACACTCGCCAGTCACATCGCGTATCGAGACAACTCACCACAAAACTATTCCGCTTCGTACGCGTCTGCTTGAACTGAAACATCTCCTTGATTGCATAGACAGCTAATGCAATCCTACAATCTTCCTTTGACGGATAAACCTTGCCAACTCTAACACAATCTTCCCCATCCACCAGATCCAAATCAGGAATATCAGAATTATCGTAAAGGGTATCGTCAAAAAGCGGTGGAATGTCGAACTCCTCATCATCCACAGCTCCAATATCCCGTGGACACTCCTTCGGCGTTGCCCCATCCACACCACTCCATCCACTCGTTTCTGTCTTCGTAAATCCGCCTACTGGTGGGTTCCCTACGTATACGTCGTGGTCAAACGCATCATTAGTACTACACCTAATCACATCCCCATCATTCAGACATTGCCACTTCTTCTCCGACGTATCTACAGGGTCGCACATAACGTCAGCTGCATTGGACCCACCGTATTGCTCATCAAGAAATGGCTCCCAAAACTCTTTATCGTACTCATGTGTCATCACATCATAATCCACTTCATCACCAATATCGCCTTCCTCATCATCATCACTCTCTGAGAAAACATTATCAGCTTCCACATGGAAACCGTCATCTCTATTACCATTTACATTTCCATTTTTGTACATTTCTTCAAAAATCTCCGCGTGTTTAAACAGCTCCTCATCCAAACTGTTAGGCAATACGTTACGCTGACCTTCGAAGGTCCCTGTACCTGATTTCCTAGCCCTGAAGCTACATTCATCACTAATAAAGTCCCTCTTCCTAGAAGTTTCTGGCTTGCAACCATCTTGTTTTTTAGCCTCCTCGTTTATGGAATTTGGCGGAGAAGACACACAACCAGTGCTATCCTCAGATGTTGTAGACGTCAATGGAGTGGTTTTCAACCCACTACCCACACTATTTGGACCTTCGTTGGCCTGAAAAAACCCAAGCTTCCTTCCAAATCCAGGGACTTCATCAACCACAGTTTTACGCACCCTCAACGGAACAGGGTGCTTAAACGAACCATCCCCGCTGGTTGTCACTGGTGTTTTAAATGTGAAACCTTCACCCTCGAAATTACTCGGTCCTCATCTTGTAGGATATGGTGTTTTGTACCCAGAAAGATCACCCGAAAAATCACCACCATTACTTCTTCTTCTCACAGCATTCCTATTAATACTACAACCTCCCTCAAACCCGCTTTTACCCACCTTGTTCTCGTCTCCATCAAACTTTGCAAACAGGTTTACACTACTCTGGACCCTGAAGTGTTTTAAGAAATAGCCTATCGAACTATCGTTCGTAACCATAACCGGCGGTGTAGAAATGCCGGTAGCTAGTTCGGTGCTATTAGGAGGCCAATAACTTAGCGTGACCGTCACACCTTCGCCGCCATCATCAAAAAACTCATTCAATACACTCTTTTTCAACTCTGTGATACTAATACCGGGCCTAAGTGGAACAACTCTAGACATCTTAAGCTTGTCCACAACGAAATCCCAGAGCCCTTCACTCGAACGCATCCACTCGCCACAAATTACCAAACAATGCTCATCCATATCTAACATTGGACCTATAATCATATCGCAAAAAAAAAATTTTAAGTTTTCATGTCCACGATATAAACATCCACGTTACAAAAAACGCTACTTCTACAACAAACCTGGTTGAGATTTGTCCGCCAGCGCCGAACGTGTCTGCTCAAATGAAACAGGTTACCCTAATATTACGAGGTTTCCCAATGTGTAGGATTATGACGTTTACCTACCAAATGTAGACAAACCGTTGGATCGTGTTTATTTAATGCAAATCGAACGGCTATTATTATTGATCTAAATACAATTTTGTAGGCCCTACTAAAGAGAACCTAACTAAGCGTAGCCCCGTAATACATCAACATTATCCACTATAACGTATCCATCAGAACGTAGCTATCAAAGGACTGAAACATCTCACCACACGAGACATATTCTACCTTAAAACGCTGTTGCGGCCCATTATCAAGGCCCATCTTAACACTATATGCACCTATCTCCAATATTACGTCCAGAAAAACAAATCCACGAATCTATATCCACCCGATACTGTAATCGAGAAAAAAAAACAAGTCGTCTCCGTATTCGTTTCAGATCCTGGAAGGTCGCCGTATCGGTTTCAGATCCTGGAAAGTATATCTATAGTGACTGTCGATCGTCGACGGCGCAGGTTTCCGATCGCCGAAGTTGTATCTACTTGTCGATTAAGAGAATCAAAAAGTGCCATACAACAAATTTCAATTTTAGATCTTAAAGAAAAATTACAGGAAAATATCCAAATCATGAATCTGCATAAACTCTTGGCAATTTGTTCTTCGCTTAGTTAGATATCAAGATTGGCTATTTAAGCGGTGAAGCGGAAGAAGAAAGCCAAATCAAGCTGAGTTTAAGCGGCTTGCCGGAAAAACAAAAAAAATGGTCTCTACCGGTTACCCGGAAAAAACACAGTAATAATATTGACACAAGGTGAAAAAAACAAGTCTCCATTTGTGAAGGACTCTTTAGAAATTTCACACCATGCCACATAGGCAAAAGTACCTCAATAGCAACATGTGCCTTTTTACAGTAATGAAAGTGTGGAAAGTGCCTTTTCTTGTAATTCACTCTTACATATTTATATAATGATTTAGGCAGCTATCAATACGATCAATAAAACAATTGGAGCATTTCCAATGGAAAAAGTTTCTTGCTCTAATTCTGTTTATAAGTTCCCAAATATCTCATTCAAAACAGGCAAAAATATTTTTCCCTCACTTCAAGAGATGTACGATCATGTTACTCAATCATTTGAATTGTTCTTTTCTCGCCCTTTTTTGCTGCACATATTCTTGATTTTTTTAATCATTTGAATTGTTCTTTTCTCGCCCTTTTTTGCTGCACATATTCTTGATTTTTTTTTTCCTGTAAGTACATAGACAAGGAATGTACATGAACTAGAGCAGTATGATTTACTAAAAGATAACAAGTGAAAATTTGAAATCATATCAAGTAAAGCAATTGTTGACCATATGAACTAATCCAAATGATCAAACAGAGCAGTGAATTAAGTGTTGGGGGTGGGGGTGGGATAAAAAGACCTGAACCATTGGTTCATGTTGGATTGTTGGAAGCACACTTGTTCCGCTCCTACCCCTATCCGTCAGTGTACTCAAACTAGTACTCATCAATAATATATGTAAAAATTAATTATGGTTACTCTATTTGAAAATGCGTGATATTTATTCAGACTGGTGCTGTCTTGTGTTACACAAATTACGGCCTTGTTGACGGTTAGAGCGTCAGTTAAGTTCATCAGTTATTTGTTTGTTTTGAACATCTGGTGCAGTCAATTCAAAGTAAAAGTAAATGCATTTTTTGCTATATAGCTCATAAAGTATCAGCGGAAAGTTGGACTATACAAGATGGAACTATTAGTTATGTTTATGCTTACATAATGCTTCTTAATATGTAAGAGATTAAGGAAGAAATCTAAGAAATTGTTTGACAGCAGTTGTTTATACTACTGACATAAAATGGGGCTATAGAATCATTTTGTAACTATGGTCAGATTGTTTCCATTTTAGCAAGTGCAAGGCCATTGTCAAGCCGATCATAGCATAGGAATAGAGATGGACAAAAATAGAACTTGGTTATAGCATAAAAGAAGAAAGCAAAATATATATTACCAAATGTTATTAATGCAAAAAAAAATGCTTAGTTATTTTATAACAATAAAAAGGGACCAATCATTCCCGTTTGAAACTTGGAAAGAACCAACGAGCATTAGAGAGTGGAATGGAGGAATAAACAAACTGTTGAGGCTGTTCAGCCTTTTTTGTGTCGAGATTATAGATCAAGATTTCATTTTGGTCATATTTATCTTCAAAACCATTACCATTAAAGTAGATGGAGTTTTTAATGATTCCTTCAAGACCGTCCTTAGCAAGCACGGTAACACCCAAATCCAAAAAAATTGACTCATCGCCGAGAGAAACGATCTTGTCCCATTTAGACTTGGTCTTCTTGGATGAATCCATCTTGTAGATTTCAAATTCCCATATCTTGGACATAAACGGACGTAAACTCTCAACAATCAAGATATCTCCTCGTAATGTAACTACCATATTAGTCTTCCTCTTAACAACTTGGAGATCGTGTGGGATATCAGGAAGTCTCATCTGAAGACCTGTTGCAATGTGTACGCATCCACGCACGCTAATCTTGAAAACTTGCAAGGGAACTTGTCCAGAAAAATCGAAAATCTTGAGTTTATAATGGTTGAGACAATACAGCTTGTGATCCTTGTATAGCAAGTCAAAACAATCGTAGACACCTGACGATAACAGCTCGGGGATTTGTTTCCACGAGTTATCTCCTTTCTTGAAAGAAACCGCATTTTTCATCATCATGCATCCTTATAACTAGGTAATCTTTGGTTTTCTCATCTATCCACAATACCGGAGAGATGAGCCCAAGATCTGATTCAAAAGTCGGTAGATTGATCCTCTCGCGCGTTAAAAGATCTAAAATATAAAGATGGGAAATTACCTCAAATAACTTAGAAAACTACTAACTTTACTACTCTAACACCTAGGTGAGCTCTCTTTACTGAACAAACCCATGATTCTTGGTTAAACTCTTGTAGACCCTTTTGAATTCTTTTTATTACGGTTTATGCCATTATCAAATTAACTCATTTAATTTATTTCATTTGACTAAACATGTGAATTAAAGAAATAATTAAGTAATGCAAACATTCTTTATTCATTGCTCTCTTCGTCTTCTCTCTCTTTCAACTCGACGGCGACTCTGAGATTAGGGTTTTTAGTGCGGCTGCGAAGGTGAAGTTCTCCGGTGGAATCGTCCATTGATAGTCGTTGTCGGGAGAATTCCGATGGTGTTTAGGGTCCGTTCGTCTTTGTTGGTCGAGTGTGAGCCGAAAATCGGCGGTTCGTCATCTCGGGTTTCGTAGTTGCATTTCGCCGGTGAGAAAGGTAATTCCGACGACCCCAAATTGATTTGTTGTTTATATTCATAGATTTTCAGGCGTTGTTTTATAGTTTAGAGTGAGATTTTTGTTAAACATGGGTTTGCTTACAGATTTGAAATTTTGTAAAAACGTATGTTTGAGATTTTGTAATATTTTCATATCCTTGAAACCCTTATATGTGGTTAATATTTTCCGGGGTCTGGAGATGCATTCTGAAGAAGTGATATTGTTTTTGAATTTGGCGCGTTATCTTGATGTCTGTTTTGAACTTTTAATGGAAGATTTGTTTAAATTGTAAAGAGAATAGTGGAAGAGTTTTGGTTTTGATGAATTGGTGGCTGATTTGATATAGTTTTGGTTTTGGTCAGTTTTGGTTATATTGACGGAAGATTTGTTATCCATAGATTTTCTTCTGTGACAGTTTTATGTATGGTATTGGAACAGTTTTGTTGTGCTAAAGCGGAAGAGTTATCGGTTTTTACTGAAACTTGTTTTTTATGCTTGCAGCTATGGCGTCATCTAGTGGGACTAAAGTCACCTCTGCAGAACCGAAGCATGAATCACTACTGCTTCCTCAACTTGTTTGGGAGGGTGAAAGATGGAATAGGTGCAGATGTGTTTGAAAACATCAAGGAGACTTCCCAGGTTGGAGTAATATTGAAGCTGGCAGACATGGACTTTGTATCGTCTTCAAACCTTCTTCACAACTTTCTTACGCGACAGCTGTCAATAGAAAATGGTCATGAGATTTGGATTTTGATAGGAGGTCAGCCCATCAGGTTCTCTCTGCATGAGTTTTCTGAAATTACGGGGTTGAATTGTGATAGACTTGGGGATGATGACAAGGCCGAAATAGATGACTCTGAGTTCTGGAAAGAGTTGAGAGTCAGTGGAGATGGACCAAAATTTAAACATCTCGAAGCAGTGTTGTCTAGATGTAGGACTTGGAGTTTTGAGAAGAGAAAGATGATTGGATTGCTGTGTATTCTATCAATAGGAATCTTAGGAATATCTCAAAATAGCAGAATCCCCATGACGTATGCGAAAAGGGTCTTGGATTTGGATGCATTTGAGAGGTTTCCGTGGGGAAGGGTTGGATTTGAAAGCATCATTAGTTCGATAAAAATAGTATGCTTCGAGAAGACTAGCTATGTAGTCCATGGTTGTGTGCATGCATTGGTCATATGGGGATATGAGTCGCTGCCTTTCTTGGCCGAAAAATTTGGTGATAGGAATGAAGCTGCAAATGTGTTTCCTCTTCTCCGTTACAGATCAAGTTGCAAGCGTTTTAATTTTGACGCATATGTGTTGCAGGAAAAGCAAAAACACGGCAGTGTAAGTTTTAATGTTAAACATTTGATTACAGTAGTTGATTGTATGAGTGAGAAATTTTGTAAACATCTATCATAGCTGTGTTTCATTGTAGGTACGTGTAAGACATATGGTGGACAAGGAAGAAGAAAATCGTTTGTGCCATACAGGGTCAAACAACTACCGCAGAATATACAAACGGGAGATTGTGGCATATTTGCTTTCAAGTATATAGAGTGCTTAGCACTAGGTAGTCTGTTCGACGGTCTGAGTGATGCTACCATGCCAGCATTACGCTTGAAGCTTGCGGCAGAGATCTATTTACGCACATCAGCTTGCTGTAAATACACATACAGCTCGTGGTTGACAGCTTCAATTTTCTCAAACAGAATATTGAAATCAGCAAGTTTGTAAGCACATGCGGCCTTCTTAACCAGTCCAAAAGTATCTGCGCCTTTGAATTTCAGAAGTATATTCTTGTGTAAATGATATGTGCAGATCCCACGACTAGCAAGTGGGTACACTTTCGTTATTGCCTGACCTATTGATCTATGCCGGTCAGATATTATAGCTAACCCGTGGTCATCCGGAATAACAATGCTTAGCTGCCTAAAGAACCATTCCCATGAATCGTGATTTTCAGTATCGACAATGGCAAAAGCTACTGGAAATATTGTGAAATTGCCATCTTGCGCTGTTGCAATAAGTAGTATTCCTTTATATTTCTCATGGAGAAATGTTCCATCGACCACAACAACTTTCCGCATAAAGGCAAATCCTTTTATGCTGGCCCCAAATGCAATGAAAACGTACTTAAAACAGTTGTCTGGATCAACTTCTAGCTTCGTATATGTCCCAGGATTTGCTCTCCTTATCCTATACAGGTATGTTGGAAGATCATCATAACTGTTTTCTTCCGTGCCTCTTACCAACTCACGTGCGGTTTTAAGAGTCCGATGAGCCTTCCAGTAATCCATCTGAAAATGGTCAATTATAAACCTTATAACTTGCTACTACAACACTCACAATGATCAAAATATTTCTTATAACTCATTTTTTGTTACCTTAATACCATATCTTTTGTTAAGTGAAGCAGCCACATGATTAGGCAACACTGTCGCATCAATACCACCAACAAACTCTTTGTACATGTGACCTAGTATCTGGTGAGTTGCTTGTCGAGATCGAGATGAACGCTCTGTAACTGAGCAACTATGCTCCTTTACATATATGCGCACGTAAAACTTCCCACTGTTATCAATCGGTGTAGCTCGCACTCTCCATTTGCAACCTTCAACCCAGCAATTGACAGTATACAACGACCGCGTCGATCGATCAACATCAAAATCAAAATTATGCAGCACTGACAGAATTTGCAATCTTGTCTGTAAATCACCTTTACAGTCATATCGTTGCCCTATAGCCAAATCAAGAGAAGCTATTTCTAGTTGCTTAAACTCATCATCAACCTCACGCAAGATTTTCTCTTTTTCAATTCCATGATTGATTTCCTCTTCTCCACCGACGTCAACAGAGCTCCCATACTTACTGTAGTTCTCATCATCTGAAGTAGCACCATCGATATCATCACAGCGTCGAATCTATATTCCTCATCTTCATCACCGATGTCGTCGTCGACACCTTCTTCATTTTCTGGGTGGTCTAGACCTGGACCAAATTTTCTTTCCTCCTTATCTCCACCAACCAAATTTGCATCCTTCTTCTTTTCCTTCTTTACCGAAGATGCATCGTAGATCTCTTCCTCGCCGCCGTCGTCTTCCCTCTCTTTCAACTCGACACATAGTCGAACTGGCTCAGCTTTCCTTAACTTCAGATATCCAAGCAGTTGCCTTGAATTATTGATGAAAACAGGCGGCGTATCTACATGTAATTTTACCAACATCTTCTTCGACAAGAGATATGACAATTCAATAACATAGAGCCGCTTATCTATCTCGTAATCCTCATACACTATCTGTATAAATTCCTCGAAGGTGGTTCTCACATTTAGATCTAAAACTCTACATCCCTTTTTTTCATCGACGCCGAAAACCCATTTACTCTTTTCTGTTTTCCATTTCCCGCAAACTAATACGATTTCTTCCTTTTCCATGAAGTCAATCATTTTTAGTGGACAAAGAAAGACTGATTTCGTACACACCAGCACAGAGAAAGAAGATGGAGAACCAGATTTGCGATGAAACCAAGAAGGAGATGAAGGACAAAATTGTCATTTTGCCATACAACGTAACTCTGCCATTAAAACACCAGTCAAGTCTACCACAACAGGAATTCGATCATAACTAATGAACACCCACCAATCGAATCAAACAGCTATTTAAAGCTGTTAAATCAATTTTTTTTCATCTCACTATAATGTTAACGTAATTAACGTCATAACAATAGATGTTAGGGTTGATATAACATCATATTAAGCATTAAATCACAATTTGCAAGCGACAGATTTAATAAATCTTTTATTTCAAATCTGTCAACACAGGATGGGTTATTCTAGTAAATTATAACTCTGTTGTAACGTCAGGTAAATACGTCTATCGTAATGTACTTCTCAACCACAAATCTACCATCACGTACCAATAAGTCTGGCATGTCGGTATTATAAATCTGTCACCATTAAAGTGTTACTTGAGTAATTATAAAGATGCGAACAACTCTGTCGTTACAAGTCAACAACTCTGTCGTAAATACGTAACTCTGTTATATCGTAAAATGTCCTAACGTAAGTCTATCGCCTCGTATAGGTTAGTCTAGTAATTTAATTTCCTTCTGTATCTCTGACGCCAAGCAGAAATAAATCTATCATGATACATTAAATCTGTCAGCACTTTCCGACAAATCTACCAAGAAAAGTCTACCAAAAAAAGTCTGCCAAATAAATCTATCAAACCAGTTTAAATCTGTTACCATAGTAAATAAATCTAACTAAATAAGCCTGCCGTGGAAAAGTCTGCCAAATAAATCTGTCACACAAAATAACTCTGACACTATAGTCACCTATAACTATGTCGGCCATGATTAACTCTGTCGCACCAACAAATCTGTCATCATTAGCCCGACAGATTTGTATTTTGAATCAAACAACTCTACCGTGGCACAAATCGTAATTAAACGCTGGGCAAATCGTAAATAAATCGAAGTTTTGCTGACGTGGCAGCGAAATAGTAATGGCATTTCCGTTATATCGTTTTTCCTAACAAACGTCTTTAGGGTTATAATTGGGATTTTTTTTTAATTTTTAAGTTATTCTACTAATAATTGAACTTGTTATGCTAAAAAATAAATATTGCCCGAATTTGGGTTGTTTTAGCTACTCACCCTATAAAGATTATATTGACGGATATCCACAATGTTCATTTCAGTACATTGAGGGTCTAGCATCAAAAGCCAGCTTCTATAAGTCGCCACACAAAAACTGTTTCCAAAGTCGTTGCCGAGATATTGAGTCTTGTAAACCTTGTCTTTTTCTTCAGGATTTAACAAGAGACCGTAATTGTTGTCCTTGGGGATTAGAATCATCCAGGGGATCTCATTGTTTGGCTGAGATATTTTCGAAGCCAATAGCCAAGATGAACAAATTGTTTTGGCTCGTTGAAAATCCGCAAATCCAAGGCGTTCAAAAATCAATCGCAGGAGATCTTGAGGAAGCTTGCACCAGCAGTGCGCATTTGTCTGCATCATTGTAGTCCAGTGGTAGGGAAGGGTTGTGTGGGGTGTTACAGCACTTCACCCAGATTCGATCTTCCCTGGAAACAAAAAACACAATTATGTGGAAAGTCTGGGTTTGGGCCAAAGGCCTAAGCAGTTTACCTGGTAGTCCAGTAATAGGCGATCTGGCTACCCCCTGGCATTAGTCGGAAAACATTTCAAATTCGGGACAGGTAGTGTGGTGGCCCATTTGGATCTCATGGATCTCATGGCCCGTTGACTCGAGTTCGCTCGAAGCTCATGGTGTCCGTTGAACTGTTGATCTTCGGTGCGTTCCTACCGTAGCCGACCGGATCAGCCGATAAAGTTTATCAAAAAAAAAAAGCAGTGCGCATTTCTTCTCGGACCTGGTCGAGTGACCGCAACAACAGAGTCGGTGTGAGATGCCATCAGGAGAAAAGTAGGTTTTTCTTTTTCACTCCCTCAGGGAAAGTTTATAAAGAGATAACTAGAGATGTACACTACACTCATCTATTTATATGTGATTCTATGTAATTCCTGGTTCACCATGTATCTAGGTAACTAGGTCTTCCGTGAACCGGTCAATTAGGCAAGTAACATTTTGAGAACTAAAATTATAAAATTAGCGTTGTATAAGAAAGATTTTTTTTTAGAAAAAAAATCAATTCTTAAAAATGACACACTTTTTACTTTTCCCAAAATAGCATCATTAAACTTATTTTCTTATAGTAGCACCATAGAAATGATTAAAAAATTGATTTATCAAAATTTTTTGGTGAACTGATACGATCCTCCCAAGGAAATTGCACTTGCTTGTTTGGTAGGGGTTGATAAACTCGGCCAGATCGGTTTGATCGGAGAGATGCTAAGGGGTGAGGGGTTGCCTCGAAGATCCTTAGGCCAACTCGCGAGAAACAGAAACTGAACAAGGGGGTGAGAACACCAAGTGTTGATCTCGCGGGTCAAGGATGAACAGGCGTGAGACTTGGTCTCGAAAATTCCTGTTGCCCCTAGACTACTTTGAACGAAATCGAAAACAAGATGTAAGGAAGGCTGCGTCGAATCCTATGGACTGAATCCGATAAACTAAAATAAACTTTCAAGGCTAACCACCTAAGAAAGGAAACTCAAAGAGAACAAGAGAAAATCTCGAAATTTTATTGATAAAAGTGAATGAGAAAATACAAGGGATTATGGCTCTTTATATAGAGTCTCATAAGAAGTGCAAAAGACAAAAATAATAAATAGATACATTGAATACGATAAAGGACCACTCGGCTTCCTCGGATGACCGTTTCACTTCTCTCGCGCGAATGGCCTTTCAACTTCTTGTAACGACTTTTAACTAATTCGGATAAGGAAAAGATGTGGGCCTTAACCTCATTAAAACCCCATCCGGTAAACCCAATGGGACAAACCCGGATGCAAGGAAAAAGAGTATCAAGGGGCCACACCGTCCGAATAGGCTAAGAGTGTTACAGCTCGGTCGCTTAGTGTGGCATCCGTGAACTTGGCCATTAATTCGGTATATAACCTCCAAATGACCATGGACAGCTTCCTAGCTCGAGACCGTGTAATTGGACCAGTGAGCTCGGTCAGTTCTGGACTTGGGTCGTTCACCTCGGCCAGCTTCCCTTCTTGAACCTCCATCTCACTTAGCTCGGCCATTTGGTCGAGATTTCCGGTCTCGCCTAGTCTTCCGGCCTGACCCTCAGCTCGCACCTCGTCCATGCTCGTATCATGAACACCTTCTTAAATCTCCAAAATGTTTAGTATACCAATAACCAAAGCAATATTTATAAATATTTAGGTTTGAAAATAATTTGTGTGTAATGTTAAGTATTGTCCATTACAACTCTAACCACCCGGAAACAGCTTCTAACCTGCTGCAGGCCTCTCTCTCTCATAGCTCCTTTTCATCATCGCTTCATTATAACTTCGTGAGTTTCTAGTTTCTTCTTCGTTTCTGTTTCCAACGACAATGGGCTATATTCAGCTTAATCTTTTCTACTTCCTAGTTCCTTGGTTCAAGTTAGGTATCTTGTTTTTTTTAACAAAGTTAGGTATCTTTTTGGGCCTTTCATTTACTTATCTAGGGTGGGCGTTTGTAATTTATGATGGGCTACTCTTGCAACAGTTAACTTTTAATTAGATACAAACATATTTTATCCAAAAAAACAAAAAAACAAAAACATGAAAATATATCTTTCCAAAAAGGAAATGAGAGAACATCAAGAAAAATCTTTCAAACTTTTCGTACGGTAAACTAAAAACAAATGCGTAAAAGATGCATACACATAAAAGTCATGTACTTACACAAGATGTGTTTAAACACAAAAACACTTTTTTCATGCTTACCTCTGGTTATAAATATATCCTCTTTTCTTATTATTTTCATTTTCATTTTCTATATTTTCTCTTCTTCTCAAGATTGTTTTCTTTTTCTTAAAAAGAGGGATTTTGAACTGAGATGGATCACCCACATCAATGTCGCCGTGGTATATGACAGCACGAAAATTTCATATCAGATTGAAAAAATGTTGCGGTAACAAAATAATAGGTCTACGAAATGTTCGTACAGTCCTATACGGCGATATTGATGTGGGTGATTCAATCCACTTCAGAATTTCAAGGTAGTCTTTGACACGGGAAGCTCCAATCTCTGGATTCCTTCAATTTGTCGGCCTAAAACGGAATATCCACATCTAAAATACATGTCTCAGAATCTAAGACATACATACATAAAGAGGCATGAAATGTCGGATGTGGATATTTCGTTTTAAAAGCATCAATCTTGCGTATCCTTGAGGCATAAAAAATAATAACAAACACATTAGGAAATTATAATCCAAAATCCCAATATACAAACACTAGATACATATTAAATCATTTAGTAGTATACACACATTTATCACTTTTTTCTATAAATACTCTTATTTTCTTTCTTTTTCTCCTCTTTCTTCCTGTAAGAACTGAAATTAGCTTATCGTCATCACAATGATTATGATCAACATCATCATCACTACTCTTAGAATTTACCTTCACTTTTCCCGTTTTTTAAATCGTACGTTTCTCTTCGTCTACCTTTGTTGTTCTTTTATTGGTAAAAATAAAACCCTTTGTTGTTCTTTTGGTGATACCGCTGATAATTTGGCCTAGACAAAGCATCCGAGGCATTACTAATCGGAATTGATCGAGTGACTGCAGTAGCAGAGATGCTGTGACATGCCATCAGGCGAAATCTGGGAGAAAAATAGGCTTTTCGTTTTCATTCTCTCCAGGAAAGTTTATATAAAGAGACGTAACTAGAGACGTACACTACTCAGTACTCTCATCTATTAAAATAAGGGTTACCCTTTGAGAACATTAATGCAATATATATATATATATATATATATTATAAAAATAACTGTATATACTAAATACTTATAATGATTAATTACCCTATATTTATATGAGATTTTAATTTATTATTATATTTAAATATAATTAACTTTTTTTTACTGATATGATACGTTATTACGTTTTATACACTTAATAATATATTAAACAAGGAAAAACAGGATGTTCAAATATAAACAGATCGACAAAATGTAGATTATATAGTATATAATATATGGTTTCATCATGCGCATCGTACCCAATTTAGAAGCATAATTAAAGAAAGAAAACCAAAACACGCATTTAGCGATCTTGTACTGGTCATGCATGGATCTTGCTTGGCTTGGCAAAGAAGGTAGGGTTTTCATTACCGGCCATTATGACAACAATCTTTGGTTCCATGTCTAGTGGCTTCAACACTTCCGTGTTTCTTGGTTTCTCTTGCTCTCCAGTGCTTGAATTCGAAGCGTTTTCCTTGAAATAGCAAGCATAAGCCATGGCGATTAATGAAACCGCAACGAGCCCTAACATCACCCCCCATGCACAAATCTTAGAGAGAACCGAAGAGTTCAAGTTCTCTAAACTGGGGTGAACCGGGACCATTGAATCACTAATCATACTCATTGCGTCGTTGAATCGGAGAGTTCAAGTTCGCTATTCCACCGTTTTCTTTTTTTTTTTTCTTGTAGAACTTATAGAAGATATTTCTTATATAGAGTTTTATCAAAAAGTGAGAGTTTTGCACTTTAGATGCCAAGTTTCAATCTGAGTTTTTGTCCAAAAAGGATTTATTCTTTCTTGAACATGTAAGAGGTTCTTTCTCTTTTCTTACCAACCTTAGATCCTTTGATAGATACATTTTTCTTTTTAACGATTTGATTGTGTTGGTTTAGAATCTGTCGAATTTTAATTTCTACAAGATTTATTAACTATAGTAGGTGATATCCGCGTATGGTTAATACTTTTCTTAAATTAATAATAAAATATGTAATATTGATGAATAATAAATTACACACTACAATATGATTTCTATTGTATGCCTGTAATTTATTATTTTGAGATTCTATTTTATTATTTAGCGTGTAGTATTTCCTTGTACAAAAATACTAAATAGATACATTTTTTTTTACCAAATTAAATAGATATTTTGATAAACTTCTTTTTTTTAATAGCGTTTTTTTCGTCCAAATTTTTACTGATATCAATTTACCATTTTCTAATTGTAATTCCAGAAGCTAAAAGTAATGCTAATGGCGTTCGGCCCCCAGTTTCATAAAATCATATGTAAAATTTGAATTATTTTGATGTCATCATCGAGCTTGAATGATTTGAAGCAGAAAAAGAAATGTGTTAATCCAAAAATGTTATTTTTATGACGGAAGTCTAAATGAAGAAAGATCTCAAAGAATACAAGTATCATGAGATGTCAAACAGAAGCAAAATCCATAAAAGCAATACAATAATAATAAAAATAAAATGAAATAATGTCTTATTCGGGAAAATAGCATCATTATTCATATGAGTGTCTTCATTTGTTCATGCCAGTCGCATTCTTCACTGATTCGGTAGCTCCGTGTGCCTTCTCCTTAATCTGCTGGCCCGTCTATACAAGTGTTTGCACGTGAAACATTTTAATTCCAAGTTCTTATAAGAAATCTTATTTTAAAATTTAACTTTTATGGGATTTAATTAAATCAACTGAAATTTTGTATGGATATAATCATTGAACCTCTTGCAGAGACTCCTTGGCAGATTGGGCAGCATTGCTAGCCTTGTCCATCATGGTGCTAGCCTTCTCCTAAACACCATCAACCAATTAATTAAAGAAAACCATAGTAAGATTTTTAAAGATATTAAATCTAGAAAAGAAACCCACATAAAATAGAAAAAGAAGATACAAAAATTCAAAATCTTGGAATTGTTTAACTATAGACGATTTTTTTAAATAGTTTTAGTATATATTATGTGACTCGCCGTCAGACTAATGCTTAGAGTATTTTAATACACTAGTTTTCTCCATATGACCTTTAATAATCTTATATCAGTTTTGGTAATAATATACTATAGTTGAAGTAACTTAGAATTACCTGGGTTTGGCCTTTGGCCTGGCCGGCTTGGAAGCTGAGGTTCTGGGAGTTGCTCGACATTTTTGAATAGCTTTAGTTAAAAGGAAAGATAATTTTTTGAATCAAAGTGTGATTATGCAATTGAATTGAGTTGAGTTTTTTTCCCAAAGGTTCCACAATTTATATAGCTCACATCTGGTGCTCCTAAGTTTTGGGTGTGCCCGACATGTGTCAATAAAGTATTTAAAATATGTGGTGTGGTTTAATTCTTCTGTTGTTTCTGATCAAGTGGAAATTAGACTTAATTTATGATTAATCCGTAATTAATTCCGATCACATTTATATGGGAGTTTGACTCGTCTATTGGATATTTATAGCTCAAATGACTCGTTCCTTTGTTTTAGTTTTCTAATTTATTTTATTTTTATTAATTCAGTTTTACTATTTACAATGAATGCACCCAGTAGCGGAACTAAATGAGGATGAGGGAGGGTCAACTGACCCCTGTGAAATTTATAAAAATTTGTCTGCATGCATATGTAATTAGTAGTTGTAGATCATTTGGTAGGATGAGCGCTAACACCGTTGCCCAGGTTGTTGTTTGTTAATCGTTAATTGTTTAATTTTTGATTTGACATGGTTTGCATAATTTTAAAATGAAACTTCCTTCCACTTTTTTTCTTTTCTATTTACATTAAATCATTCTTGTATTTAGGATAGTTTCTGCATTTTTATTAATATTTAATTAATGTAGACAATAAACTATTTATGTATTTGAGATAAATAAATCTTCTAAAAATAATTATTTTATCATACCGGTTTTCTCACCAGTATTTCAGAAACTATAAAAAATAATAAATAAGATTATTAGTATGTTTTATATAAAATTAAATATTTCTAGAACTACATAAATGTATTCTCATTAAAATAAACTACAATTTATAGGATTTATAACAATAATACATTATTTTAGTTTTTATAATTCAAAACTAATAAAGAAAATATTTTATTCAATTTCAGCAGTGATATTAAAATTATAATTTTTTTATTAGTACGGACCCCGATAAAAAAATATTTCTGCTGCGCCTGGATGCACCAATATTTTAGCATTTGAAGCTTCGAATCCAAGTAAGTTGATGGGTTCTTGCCACTTTCCAGTTAATGAGAGGACAAAGACAACAAACATGAAAACATAAAGCTTTTTCCCTCTCTTTTTAATATTTACAAAAGTCCTTATTCCTGAAAATTAATAGACTGATAAAAATTGTAGATCAGCTTCTATTATACAATGCAACAATACAAATACTTTCGCATTTAACCATAATTCGTTTGACTTGATCGTGCTAATGAAAAGAAACATTTATAACAAATTTTTCATGGTGAAAAATTTGACATTGAAACAATTGAAATCCTTTAACACTTGCCCAACCTTGTCTTATTAACGACATTGCTCAACAGAGTAAACTCGAACTCTCGTGAAAGCATTAAAATTTTGAGTTTGGCCCTTCAAGAAAAAAGTAAGAGAACACAATATTTCATTACCTTTAACCTCTCTCACCTACGATTCCACAGTCTTGAGATCATGATCAGTACTGAGTTTATACGAGTACTCACTTCACAAGACCTCGCTTCTGTTCATTTCCCGTAAAATACTCTTCGATATAAGACATCTATCACCTACATGACTCCAAAAGAATCTCAGAACCTCGTTATCACCAGCGTAAGAGGCACTGAGTGATTTATACAGTTTCAAGTTTACCATCAACCGTCGATTATACATTATATCGAACAAAGCAGAAGCTTCAGTGACCTTCCCTGTTCTCCAATACGCATAAGCCATGCTTGTGTATATAACGCTATCTCCCATCAAACCTTTCTTTTCCATTGATTCACACAACACTTTGGCGTAATCCACCTGTTCTAACTTACAAATCCTTCTAATCAATCCTCTGTACAGAGCAACATCAGGGCAAAGACCTCGTTTTTCAAACTCCTCCGGGAGTTTCACAATCTCGTCTTGCTTGTTCTGGTTATTGTATCCATCTACTAGCCAAGAATAAGTCGAATATCCTGGTGGTAAGCCTTTCTCCACCATAGAGAATAGCTCCTCCTTTGCATTTTCCAGTTCCAGCACTTTACAAAACCCGTGAATCAATGCTCTGTACGAATACATATCCAGCTTTAGCCCCGAATCAATCATCTTCTTTTTCACCTTCACCGCAGATACCATGTCTCCATTTTTACAATACGCGTTGATCAAAGTATTGCAGGTGATATTATCAGGTTCTATCCTTTTCCCACTAATCTCAGTCAAAAGCCGGTTCGCTTCTCTTATCCTTCCATCTTCACATAACTTACGTAGAATCGAATTATAAGTCACAACTCCAGGAGAAAACCCTCTCGCCTCCATTACCTCTCGTAGCCTCAAAGCTTCATCTATATCATTCATTCTACAATACCCATCAATCAAAGTAGTATAAGTCACATGATTCGCCGTAACAACGCCTTTGATCTCTCGAAACAGCCTCGTGGCCTCCTTCATTCTACCTTCTCTACAAAACCCATGTATGAGTGAGTTATAAGTCACGATATCAGGACCAACCCCACTTCTCTGCATCCTGTCTTGCACTGATAATGCCTCGTAATGCATACCCTTTCTGCAGTACGCAGAGATCAACGTGTTATACGTGAAAAGATCAGGAAACACGCCTTTCTCTTCCATCTCGCTCAACAGTTTCTCGGCTCTCTCATGGTCACCAGATTTAGAACAAGCATGAACCAATACGTTATACAAATGAATGTTAGCAACAACACCTAACTTAACCATCTTCTTGAATATCTTCCAAACTGTATCAGTCAATCTCTCTTTCACCAAACTATTCAGAAGAACAGTACAAGCCTGCAAATGAGGCTTCAATCCGCAGTGCCTAATCTGCTCGAAAACCTCAATAGAATCGTTGATCATCCCTGATTTAGCATAGAATATGATCAACCAGCTGAAAACGTGAGAGATAACTTCTGGGTCTTGTGAAACACCACCAAGCAAAGATCTCAACACTAAAGGAGAAGACAAAAGCTCTCTCTGAGACAATTTATCGAGCAGGTGGTGTGCGGTTTTGAAATGCTTGTGTTTAGTGAGAATCAGAACCATTTTCCAGGAACATTGTAAGCTATGTTTACAGCTAGGGAACGAATCAGTCCAGCTAAAGAAACTCCACGAAAGAGAAGGTCCGCCATAGCCAGAACACGAAGAGAGATCGGAGATTACCTGTGTGGTTATCGCTGATGTCAATAATCCCGAATCGACTTTATGTTTCAGAATGTTTCTCCAGTTTCCCTTCAACACAGCTCCACAGATGCTTTGTGCAATCAGAGCTTCTCGATTTGCAGACGCTAAATTCGCCATTGTTGGTGTTGTAACAGAAAGATTCGTGCAAGCGGCGGCAATTTTGAGAAGGTCTAAACCGGTTTGCATTTCTCCAATGAAACAAACCACAAACCAGATTTGCCAATTGCATGGAAGAAAACAGAACCGAATTGGACCGAATCAAACCGAACCGAAGAAAAATAAAATTTCCTATAATTTATTTTGAAATAATTTTTTTTATAATTAATTGGATGAAAAACAAAATTCTGGGTAAAAATTAGTTCGGTAACTATGCAAAATCCAAAACCCACAAACACTGTTTTGGAAGATGGGAGAAAAGACGATAACAACATTCAGAGGGGTAAAAAAAATAAAGATTAAAAAACAAAATAGGTAGTAATAATTAATTTAAGATCGCTTAAGCTTTTGTAGATATCTTACTAATATCTTAAAATCATATATATGAAAATACGTGAATTCTCTCCATAGCTTGCCACATCAGCAATTGAGAAATTAACACCTATAATTTTACATAATTATTAAATCATAAGTTTAAAATAAAAAGTCAAAAACTAATTAATATCACTAATTTAAACATAACCTTTTTTTTAATGTTTATCTCATGTATTTAGGTTCATAACTATTAAGTTACATTAAAGGTAATGTTTTCCACATTCCTAATAAAAATAAATAAACAACATTTATAATCTTTAGTATTCGTATAAAACTTTTTAATACCTTTTTTTTTTATAAACTTGATATAAAAGAATGTAAAGATCTAGCGTTCTCTTTATTCAAAGATTTTGCGGTTTTTATGGGTCAACTATGATATTATTATAGCTATATTTCATTGTGAAACATGAAGTATGAGGTGGTTCTTGCAGAATCATAGGAATTGTGCATCTCATAAATATGACAACATTAAAAATCAGAGGTAATTATATGTTTCCAAACAATTCAACCCAAAAAATGTGACTTTTATCTTCATTTTTTTACTCGTATCATGTTTATGATTTCTAGAATAGCAGAATAATTTCTCTACTTACCCTACTTCCAATTCTAAAAAGAGATAAGAATTTTGCTTTTTTAAAAAAATAATATCAAACAATCAAACCAATTACACAAACATATTTTTCAAAATATTATATAAAACAAAAAGCGGATACAAGCTTAGTATATATTAAAATAATAAGTTACTTATTCTTGTAACACGTTAACAATTACTGTATCGTTTATAAATATATAGATTTATCTCTTATCATTTTGTTAGCATGTTAGTTCAACTATTATCCGTATACAACAAAATCCAGTGAAGTTTATGAAATCTACAATATCTTATGTATATACATTTTAGTAACGAGTTATTTATTTTTATAACAAATTAGCATTTAAATATGTTATCATAAATAAACATATAAATTTATCTCTACTTTTTTGTTTAGCCAGTTAACTCAATAATTAACTAGTTAATATTGATGTTGTCTCAATAAGAACAACACATGTTTAAAGCAAAAAGTCAATAATGTTTTTGGTATAAGAAACTATATAAATCATAGACTAAATCTGACTAGATAAATTACAGCAACAAAATACCTTTTATCGTTTCTATCTCCATTGTCTTTGATGTAGGCACAGAATCCACCAATGCTTTAATCACAAGGTTGTCGAGAGTTTACAAGTTTGATGGGATGAAGATCGCTACTCAAAGGTGCGGAAAGCCTTTGAGATAAGACCAGGAACCTAAGCCTCAGTGAATCCACACAAGAGACACTGATTCAGCTTGCTTTCTAGTTTAGGAATAAGTATATAAAACAAATGGAATGAAGCAATTAAACTTCAAGAGAGAGTAAACTGAATAGTTCTGTTTTTAATTGATAAAAGGTGTGTTTTACAATGAAGGATACAAGAGCTTATATAGGTTCGACAGGGGACTTATTCTAACGGTCTAAATGACTAATACAGGAAATAAAATACACGAAAATACATGATAGATGATCAGGAGATATACATGATAGATGATCAGGAGATGATGGGATTTCAGCCAGAAATGAATAAGTGTGATCATTTCCTTGTATCTAGACAGCTTGGGAAGATATAGGTGATGTCTTGGGACCTTCTTGAATGTGGGAAATGCCTCAAATTCGTGTGCAAGTAGAAGAGGAAAGAGCTGTTGGAATTTGAATTCAAATAACTCCAAATATGGCAAGTGTGAGCAAGAGAGGATCCGCCTGATCCTCTGGGTGCTGGAGCATCTGAAGGGCTTCTGGAATGACTCAATATGAAATAGATAAGTTTGTAAAGTGTGGCAACCATCAGATCTGCAACTTGCCTAGTCAGCCCGTTTTGGAAATGGGTTATAACTTCAGGATCCGATGGGCATTTCTTCAGATCTCGAGTTTGTTGGATAGCAGACAGACCTAGCAATGTTATCCAAGTTGTATTGGGCCGAGAACATGGCTGATTCGGGCTGTGTCACGATCTTTAGCATAGATGCGAAATTGGGTCTGAAACAGGTCTGCCAACTTGTAAAGTGAATAACTCTCCAATAAAAATCGGTTTGGACATGATTCCAATTCACGCTGTGTCTCAGATGAACCAGGATACCATAAAGAGTCGGTTTGTAGCTTATCTCTTCCTGGTTCGGTTGGAAAACTACAATTAGTGCGTATATATCCAAATCGGCTAAGTTCAGTGTAAATACAAGAGTCTTAGTTCAAGAACAACAACACAACTTAACACAGAGTTTTTCTTTTAACTGAAATTTATTGCTAGTAAATCTGTTGATAAACCTTACAAGTTTCTAACACCATTTAGGACAGACTTAACACTACAAGAAATCACCCATTTCACAACGACCATATTCGTCGTTAAATGAGGTTTGCGACGATTTAACGACGAATGCCAGTTCGTCGTATATTGATCGTCGTAACTGGTAATTCGTCGTAAAATTGTCTTTAATTAGCGAGAAAAAAGAATCGTCGTTAAATCGTCGGGAAGCATTCGTCGTCACTTCGTTGTAAATGTAACGACGATTGAACGACGAAAAGCTTTCGTCGGCAATTCGTTGCAAATTCGTGGCTGAAAAATCGTCCTTAAGTCGTCGTTACTCTAGATTCGTCCCTAATTCGTCGTAAATGTTTCGTCCCGAATTCGTCGTAATTTACAACGATTTAAGGACGAATGTTTATTTATTTTTTAAACCCAAATGTTTTTGAAATAATAATTAAAAATTAAATAAATTAATTTAAAAATAAATATGAAAATAAAATTATTTTAATTAAAAACAAAACAAAATATTTTTATTACAACAAAAAGAAATCATATTTAAGCATCATAATCAATTTCGAAATCTCCAAAATCGTCCGCAAGATTAGTAACCGGAGCATGTGATTGATCTTCTCCACCACTTGTAGATGCTCCTTGAGTACCCACAGCTTATGTCGCTCCACCACTTGTAGATGCTCCTTGAGTACCCGCAGCTTGTGTCGCCACTCTCCGTGCCGCCAATCTTGCCTCCTTTTCCGCTGCACGTTTTTGACGTTTTGGCAAGGCATTTGCAACATCTGGGATTGAGAGGGCAATGATATCGAAGATGGAGTCATACTCCAAAAGCTCCTCCTGAACTTCCTGGTGATATGCGCTTTGAGACTCCTCTAAAGTTGCAATCTTGGCCCGTAGAACGACTGGATCATCTTCTGGTCCTCGGCGGCGTGGTGCGGATGACGAAGCACTCGGGACGTCTCTAATAGATCCCATCCCTACAACTTTTCCCTTGTTTTTCGGAGCGACCTACATTTTAAAGTAAATTTTATTAGAAATCAAAATATTAAAAATAAATAAATAAATAATATTTATTAAATATATATACCTCCTCGAAGATTTGATCGATCTCACGAGTAGTCAACCCTCCGGATTGAACTGAAGAACCTCCGGGAGATAGTTGGGTCTCTCGCTCAGCAACCTTTGAAGTAACTTCATTATAGAGCTGCTCGGCTTTCTCAGAAACGAATGCACCATCCTTTTTCCGATGACACTTCGCGAAAACCTCTGTCATAGGCGGGAGTTCGCCTCCATTCTCGGCAGCCTAAAAAAAAGTTATTATAATTAATTAATATCAAATACCATAAATTAATTATCTAATATAAATAATAATTTCATACCATCTGCAGTCGAACACCTCCAAATGGTGTTTGGCCAGCTGTATGAGGAAAAGCCTTCTTCTGACCGTTTGTATCAGTCGCATTGCGGGAAATAGAACACTTTTCCGCAACCTCCTGCGAATGCGGAATCATCCAATATCGTACCAAACCCTTCCACACCTCAGGGTCCATGCTAATAGGCTTTGCATCATCACCAATGACTTTCCACGATTTCTTCCAATCGGAAACCGTGCCCATAAGTCGAAGCTTCACTCTCTCGGTAAAGAGTCTCTCCACCTCGCTATGGTCTTTCTCATCCCAGTCATACCGTTGCTACAAAAAAAATCACATAATTACATTTCGGAATAATTAAAATAATTATTTAAATAAACTACAAATTATTTTAAAAATTGATTTTACCGCAAATATTTTGAACTATGTGTCAATGGTATGCTGTGCAAGCTGGGTGAGATTGCAATGAGGCTCCACAAAGTAGGACTTGATAATATCAGAAACCGTGCGGCCAACCTTGCTATGAATGCCGAACCTAAAACAACAATATAAAAATTTATATCAGTAAAATTAATTAAAATAAATATAATTTATAATTATCATGACTTTTCATTCCAGCAAACTTTGTTCCTTTTTCAACAGACTTGGCAAGATTAGAAACATATCCATCCGGGAACTTCACATCAGATGAAATCCATTTAAACAAGGCTGTCTTTTCCGCTGCACCCAATCGAAATATAGGAACAAGTGCTCTTCCATTACTTGTAATGTGCAACTCACTCCGAGAACAAATATCAGGCAAATCTAGTCTCGACTTACCAGTGTCTTTAGTCCTTCCAGGAACATTCAACACCGTATGCATGATGTTATCAAAATTTTTTTTCTCAA